TAGTATTCCATTGTGTAGATGTACCACAGTTTTTTAATCCACTCATCTGCTGATGGGCACTTAGGCTGTTTCCAAATCTTAACTATGGCGAATTGTGCTGCTATGAACATAGGGGTGCATATAAAGTATATTTGACCCTTCTTTGTTCTTTGATTTTATCTCACATGCCTTGGTTGAAAACACAGTGGTGATGTTTAATTAAAGATGAAACTGCATGTAAGCCTAACCAATGGACACAGACAACAGGGGGGTGAGGGCATGAGTGGGAGGGATTGGGGGGTAATGGGGATAAGGACACATATGTAATACCTTAATCAATAAGGAAATTTAAAAAAAGATGAAACTGGTCAATGTATAGAGACTTGGAATAGATGACTATTCATCTCATCAACTTCAGTAGGAACTCCATGTATAGCACAAATAAGTTCTACTTACAGAACAAAGTGCTTATTGAATGTTCATAATTGTTTTAAAACTTTAGGCCGTGGAATACACCACAAGGATACTGACAAAAGAATGCCCCTACATACTTCACCTATTTCATCAGTAAAACTGCCTTAAGAGTTTCTATTTATTTTAATTTGTCATTACTCACCAGTAGGGTTCTTTCTTCTCCACTGTCAACATAGGAAGAGGAAAAATAGTTGTTTGACCATGACTCAGGGCTTTCAGAGATTTCTTCAGTCCAAACTATAAGAAAAACATGGGAGGTGGCAGTTACTTAATGGTGTTGGTCCATTGAAAAATGTAAATGCAGGAACAAACAGAGAAATAAAATTTACTATAATAAGCAAGTCTACAGTGGTCCAAGAATAGTATCTCCCTATAATAAAACCTCCAATTAGATTGCACTGTTTTAGAATTGCTGATATTTCAGAAATATCACCTCTTTTACTTATTAGGATGGTTTCAAGTTGGAGTTGGTGAGAGAGTTATTAAAAATAAATTAGCCCTAGCCAGTTTTGTTCAATGGCTAGAGTGTTGGCCCACAGATTGAAGGGTTGCAGGTTCAATTTAAGTCAAGGGCATGTACCTGGATTGCAGGCTTGATCCTGGCCCTGGTCAGGCCATGTGCGCAGGAGGCAACCAATTGATGTGTGTGTCTCTCCCCTCTTTTTCTCTCTCCCCCTCCCTTCTACTCTCTTTAAAAATCAATGGGGGAAAATATCCTTGGGTGAGAATTAACAAACAAAATAAAAAATAAAAATAATAAGTTAAATAATATTCTAGAGAATATTTACTCCTTCTTACAGAAAATAATCTCTTCCAAAATTATTTCCTGTAGCCTTTTTATTGGTCCATTCAATTAGCACTTATATCATTATACCTAGTAATATTTTTTACTTATCTTATCTCTCTTATTAGGCAGAGACTATGTCATATAAGAGCCTTGCATGTTAAGATACAAATTAAGCAATCTAATGTAGGCAGAGAATTAACAGTATCACAACTTGGCCACACTAAACTGTTCATGTAATCTTATAACAGTAATGTCAACTTTCTCTGTCTTGGTTTCTACACCTGGCAAATGAAGGCATTGGTACTAGGCTCTCTCTTGACTGCTCTGGGGGCTATAGCACAAATGAGCTGATGGAAGTGACCTTTAAATGGATAACTGAAAGTTGAGCAATGTTATCATTACTTGTTTTTCCTCAACTGAAAGTTGAGCAATGTTATCATTACTTGTTTTTCCTCAACTAGTAGAGATTAGGAACCATCATTATTACTGCATATCAGGCAATCTGTTAGGCATTTCTCCAGGGAGGTCTATGCTGTTGATCCCACAGTGCTGGATGCTTCTGTAGCACCTTGTACTTCCCTTTCAAAATACTTTTCTCACTTAATTTTACTTGCTCCTTGAATTATCTTTCTTTCTTCCTAGCTCCATGGGGATGGCAGCTGAGTATATCTTAAACTTTATGCCCAGGGCTTTACACAATTCCTGGCACACAGACTGTGCTATATTTGATGAATTAAACAAATGGTTTGAAATCAGTGTAAATAAAATAATTTGCATTAAAAACTATTCCAGGTATAAATGACTCTATCCGTTAAATCTATGGCGGTTAAAGTGTGCATTCCTTTAAGCCAATATGTGTTTTATTCATCTTTCTATCTACACTGTGTAGCAGGGGTTTCCAGACTTGAAAATGCATCAGAAACACTCACATAGAGAACTGTACATCACAGATGGCTGCTGCATTTTACTCCCAGGATTTCTGATTCAGAATGTCCCGGAAGAGTCAGAGAATTCGCCTTCCTTACAAATTCCCAGGTGATGCTAATGCTCTTGATGCAGGGACTGCACTTTGACAATCACTGCTCTGCAGTGCCCACCAGCATCTTGCAATCCAAGACATATAAGCCTTATAAAAATATTTTAATTTAGTTTTCTTTATACAAAGATAATAGATGTGTAGATTTTCAAAATGAACAATGAGAGAAAAGAATCTGCACAATCATGAATCTTACCTCTTGATGACCATGACACATACCTGTATTTGCTTCTGCCTGAACTGTCGAAGTTGCCTCATGGACCCCTACCACAGTGCTGGTGTGCTCTGATTTAGTTATCTCAGGAACTATAAAAGCTTGCTGTTGCCTTCTGAAATAGTAAATACATAAAGATAAGTGAGCTTTTACATAGTCAAAGAATAATTAGAAATTAAAAACGGTATTTGTTCTACTGATACCATGTGTCAAGAACATACTCTTGAGAATCCATTCAAACAGAGCTAACTCTCCCTCATGTAAGTCTGTGTGGTAATAGTTCATAACATATAAAAATTTAAATCCTAGGATCCAAACCAGCAAGGTCTCTCTTTAATATGCAAGGAAAAAAATTACTCCCTTCTTGACCAAAAGCAGGTATATTGCTTAAAATCCCCATAGTATATAATACTGTATATTTGAAATTTGCTAAGAGGTGGATCTTAAATGTCCTTACCATACACACACACACACACACACACACACACACACACAAACACACACACACACACACACACAACACACACACACAAAGATAACTGTGTGAGGCAATGGATATGTAAATTAGCTTAACTATGGTGAATATTTCACAATGTATATGTACTTTAAATCCTCAAATTGTACTCTTTAAATATATAAAATTTTAATTGTCAACCATAACTTAATAATGTTGGAAAAAAATATAAACAAAATAATCCCTGTTGCTCTGTGAACTTTTAACCTTAATCAATTAAATAAGATGTATGTAAATGACAAAACTTTACTCTGATTAATACTGTTGAGTTTTATCAGCTAATATAAAGTTAATTACTACATGAAATCTAAAGACTTCTATAATATGACAAAAGATTGAGTATTGTGAAGATAAAGACTTCCACTGTGACTTTTAAATGTTTCTCTTAAAGCTCCAGATGAGCCAACATACTTTGCACCTGATTTTAGCTACCTCTGAAAGATATGATGCAACAAAGAGAAAAGGTATTATTAATAAGTCATTCAATGATCCCTCTATCAGTCAGAGGATGCATGGTGGATTGGATTTCTGTGCCTAGGCTTTGGCATCAGTGTGGTGAATCTTTCTGCATATCTGTAAATGTTCTGTGGAAACTCCATTTTTTAGGATTCCTAGAGGCAAAATACAAGGACCGCATCTCTAAACCAGCACTCATCAGTGCTATCTTTTTTGACTGCTACCTTCCTCAAAGACTTCATGGTTGTGTCCAAGCATGGATCCCTCCAAGGACCCATACCTCATCTCTAACTACATAGAAAGAGAGACCAAGTCACCAGCAAGTGGTTTCCATCTGGGACCACAAAGCTGTGGGCCAGTAGAGGCTGCCAATCCTTTACCATTCTTAAACTCTCTTTCTCCGATGAGATTGAAGATGTCCAAAAATACAGTGAAGAGAAATCCATGCATGCAGCCACTGTTATGGTAAGCCTACCTGCCAGCTCCCCTCCACCCCCAATATACTGAGAACAAAGTATTTGTAATTGTGTTTGGCCCAAACTATTGTATTATTTTTTAACATCAAGGGGAACAATTAAATAACTATTAAAGACTATCAGTCTCCAAGTATAAGGACAGAACTGAGAAAAAGGTGTGCTTATGGAATGTGATGTGTTATTGCTAAAAGGGCAGGTAGTTTTTGTCTGAGATGTTTAATTACATTGCTTCATGTTACATAGGGAAAATAAAAGATTGTGGGAGTAATGTTTCTTAAAGAATAATCACTTACTCATCATTCTGCTGAGAAGAAAGCTGGTCCTGTTCAGTTAACTGATTACGCTGCTGTTGTTTAACTGTAGAATAAAAGAAAGTTTATATAAGCAACATTCAGAAGCCACATTTCTTCTTTCCTTGAAGACCAATGACTTGCATGCGTGCACACACACACACCCATTCCCATTAAACTTCACAGACTTGAAATAACCAGAGAAAAAACCAGTCTGAATTTGGAATATGGAAGAGAACTGAACAATTTAATATTTTATTCAAGAAATTCGAGGAGAACCAAGATGGCGGCATAAGGTATATATCTGTACGTGCCGCCCCCACAACCACATTAAAACTACAACTAAAAGACAAAACGGCTATCATCCAGAACCACGGGAAAGCTGGCTGAGTGGAAGTTCTACAACTAGAAGGAAATAAAAAAGTGCATTAAGACTGGGTAGGAGGTGCGGAGTCGCCAAGAGCAGAGGTATGGAGGCGCATGAAATGGGCTGCAACTGGGTGCACAGTTTTTTTTTCAATCGGAAGGAAGATACAAGCTCCTGACTGCACTGAACTTGTTTCCAGCGAGACTCTGGGGACCCACACTCCTATGGGAAGAAACTGGACTGTCTGGCAGCGGGTCGGAAAGCAAGGGTGGCTTTCTCATAGAGCTGCTCGCAGGGATCATTGTTATTGTGGGGGTGCGGGACTTGGGGACTCAGGGACGTGGAGACATGGAGGCACCAAGAAGCAGAGACGCGGAGAGACGCAGAGATGCAGAGAGATGCGGAGAGACCCGGAGACCCGGAGACAGCTGATGGCTGACGGCTGACAGCTGACAGACAGCCATCACTGTTTGCTCCGCCCGGGTGATTCTCTGAGACCCCGCCCCACCCAATTCACAGCCCCACCCAAGCTGTGCACAGCAGCACAAATGAATTACCTGTGCTTTCACAGCCTAACCTAACAAACTGCAGCTGGGTCAGAGGGCTCCAAAACTTCCAAACCCCAAACAAAGAGGAGAAATCTGCAGATCTAGCTGTAGCTCCTGCTGGGTGGACTCACACAGTAGCTGACTTTGCACCTCCTTGGAGATCCAGGAACCAGTATAGCCAGTGGTCAGATACCAGATTTCAACTCCTCACATCCATAAATGACACACTCAAGAGGCAGACTCAGTGAGCACCAAAGCCCCACTGAAGCAAGTCCTGCCCCCATAAGAGTGTCTCCAGCACAGAAGTCTTCCACGATAGACACAGCAGGTCCTTGCAGTCAGCCAAAATGCGGAGACAAAGAAACATGTAACAAATGAAAGAAATGGAAGAAAGCAAACTTCTGGATATAGAGTTCAAAACCACAGTTATACGGTTACTCAAGAATCTTCTAGAAACCTCCGATAAATTTAGTGAGACCCTCAAGGAAATGAAAAAGGACCAAGCAAAAATTAAGCATACACTGACTGAAATAAAGAATAATATACAGAGATCCAACA